CGAAAAATCATCTTTAAGTTTTTTATTTTCAGTTTGGAGTAGTTTTCTGTGATAAAAAGCATAAAGTTTATATATAAATACATACATATATAATGCTACATCTTGAAAAAAATCTTCACTTACACTTTTTTCTCTAGCATTTTTATTTTGTCTCCTTGGCCTGAACTTTCTTTAATAGCAGCGTCTTCAGTGCACAATTCATTTAAACAATTTCCAATTGAAAGGTCTGCACAATCCTCAGTCACGTTAAATTCTTCAGCAGGTATACACTGTACTCGCACTTCTTGAGGTTGGTCAACATTTAGCAACAATGAAGTCACTATTTTCTTATTTTCCCTGCGCTCAGCTCTGGGGGCTCGCTGCTCATTTTCACTAGCTGCAACGTTATAGCGACAGGGAATAGCTCCTGGTTTCAAATTAAAATATTTTAAAACAAAGGTGATTTATCAACTTACCCATTTCGTACATCCCGTTTCAATAATGTCTTCATCGTTGAAGTGATCCATGCAAATTCGCCAAGTTTTCGGCTTAAATGCTTGCTTATTTCTACAAAATTGGATCCAATTTTTTTGCTGCCCTTTATCGTTCGGAAACATAAAAAATGTTTTCTTCACATTTTTATTTCTTCCATCATTGACACAGTTTTTCACTACACACTTCATTTTGTTATTTAAATAAAAAATTACACGGGTAAAATAAATTGTTTCTCTATTCACATTGATTGGTACCACGAATTTATAGTTGTCAAATTTTTTACTGCGCCGTGTGACGTARGCAATTGTTTGTTTACATTTTTCAAGTATAACGGAMCTGCGCAATGCGTAATCTCTTTTCTATCATTCTTGCGTTAACATTATAATTGGTGAACAATTATACTCTCAAGATGAGGTGCGAATTAATTCTTATTTTGGTACAAAAATTAAATACGTGTGATATATTTGAAAAACATGAGCTGATGAAAATTGATAAATATGAAAAAAAGTTTTTGATTTAATTGAACTATACTATATACGTATAATAAAACTAAAATAACAAATGTAAAAATGACAATAGTGTTAAAAGAGGATACGCCAATTTTTCCTGCACCTAGAAGACTTTCTTTTAGTGAAAGGCAGATAACTGATACGCAAATTGAACAATGGCTTGAAGACGGAATTGTTGAAACTTCATTATAGCTATTCTATTGATGATTTCATCATTCTTGTTAGTACTCGCCTATGTTTTAACGAGTTCTTAGATGAAATGTCGTAGTTGGGTCTTAACCGAATTAGTTTAATTTSAAACAAGTTTGATAAGTTCTTAGATCTGGTTTATGTTGATAACGCTTCAATATCCTCTGTTATCCGATGTGATCTGATTTGGAAATTAATATCGAAATCATAGCCAACTTTACTCATAATAATACATAAGACCTGTGTTCTTGCTTCAACGTTGSGAAAGCTGGTTTTAAGAAAATTAGTTACGAACTTTCTAAAGTAACTTGGCCAGATTACAGTGGCAATATTGAATTTAGTGCTTTTAAATTCAGAATAATCAGAATATTCTAAATTGCGTCGACAATTTGCTGAACTTAACAAAATATGTTATAATAATTATATAAACAAAGTAAAAAATAATTGTTCGCAATATTCGTCAACGCAAGATTTCTAATTTAGTAATAGTTCTAGTATATCTAGTGACAATCACACAATTTCTAGTGTGTTCGCTGAATTCTTTAAGTCTCCAAATTCTCTAAAAAATGTTCCGTATCAGCAGAAGTTATGTTCGACTTCTGTCATTGATGCACCCACCGTTTCCGAAGCGGACGTCTTATATCAGTTAAATATGCTAGAATAATCATTTAATTATGGCCCAGATATGTTTCCCTCAAGGTTTCTTAAAAAATGTGCGAAATATATACACAATCCCTAAAAAAACCATTTAATTTATATCCTTTACATAAGAGTGGAACTATAGGGGAATAGCAAAGTTGTCTGCATTACCTAAACTTTTTGAAGCAATTATAACAGACGACATAACCTTTCGGATTTCTCCATTAGTTTCTTGTTCTCAGCACGGTTTTCGTAAAGGGAAATCTACAGCAACTAATTTGCTTGAATTTTTATAACGTGTAGCCCGTTACTTCAGGGAGAATAAGAATACTGAAGTTCCATACACAGATTTTAGTAAAGCGTTTGATAAAATAAACAATTCAATTCTTTTGAATAAACTTGATCTTCTTGGTTTTCAAAAAAAATTTCTAAAATGGGTTGCTTATTATCTTAGTAATATAATTCAACTAGTCATATTAAAATTTTTCCGACATAATCCTCAAAAGAGCCATCTTGGTGCAATTCTGTTCTTGTTATTTGTTAATGACATATCATCAGTTGTTAAGTATTTAAGGTTTTATTATATGCTGACGATGTAAAAAATTTTCATAATCATATACTTTGAAAAGCGATAGATGTCAGTTGCAAACAGACTCAAGGAACCTAGTTTCTTGGTGTGTTAGAAATGACGTGCCATTGAACCTTAAAAATGGTAAAACGATATTCTTTTCTTGAAGATCTGTAGACACTACTTCATACGCAATACAAAACTATAGGCCAAACTGAATTTTAGTCTTCACGCATCTTCCATGGTTTTTAAAGCTAAAGGCACTTTCAGTTTTGTTGAACGTTGGTMTAAAGAATTTAGAGATCCGGTTAGCACAAACATTCTTTTTACATTTCTGGTGAGGCCTATATTAGAGTATGTTTCTGTGGTATGGAACCCTAGTTACCAAGTCCATTCAGATATGTTAGAGTCTTTTCAAAAACAAGTTTTACTTTTTGCCTTAAATCATTAGTATTGGGATTCCAGTTTAAATCTTCCCCCTTACACTAACCGTTTAAAACTTATAAATCTCAATACACTCGCTAGTTGTAGCGAAATGCTTGGTATAATATTTCTTGTAAAACTCATGTATGGGTTAGTTATTCCGCCRTATATGCCATGATTTCAATTCTCATTCCAGCACATTTTGTCTAAAAGACTCACTCTTTACCATTAAAAAAATTATTTTATCTACCCTTAACAAGTAACATTTAAAAATTATAAACCTTAACATAATTCTTAATTTTGGCTGCTGAAATTTTTGTTCATGCAGATCCCAACAACTTAAGATCCCAAATCTTAAAACTCTCTTGCATTTTAWGACTCGGCTAATTCCGCTCGTTTGCGGATTGCGCCCCTCGCGTCGGTTGGGCGGGACGAGGGTAATCGTTAGGTATTACTTAACAAAAACAGTTATCGACTATCTCTCGTGCCGTAAAGACGTA